TTCTTATTTCTACCTGTAGAAAATTTTAATTTATATTATTTTTATTAATTTACATCCTTCAGTGACTTCTCTCATTGCTGCAGGTCATCTGAAAACTTAAACGGTAGCAGCATGGATACATGGATGCTCAAGTGTTACTTGTCTATTTGCAAAACCTATAAATTCACTGTAAAAAAAACCCTGCAACTTTTAATTCTGTAGTCTGAATACATCACAAATGTATCATGTAGGCTGGATTAGTCCATGGAAATATGATATTTTTTATATAAAAGATATAATTAATCATATAATGGTTAGGGTTGGAAAGGACCTTCAAGATCATCTAGTTCCAACCCTCCTGCCATGGGCAGGGACACCCTCCACTACACCAGGTTGCCCAAAGCCTCATCCAACCTGGCCTTGAACACTGCCAGGGATGGGGCAGCCACAGCTTCTCTGGGCAGCCTGTTCCAGTGCCTCAGCACCCTCAGAGTGAAGAATTTCTTCCTTCCTTCTATTTTAAATCTCCGCTTTCAGTTTAAAGCCGTTTCCCCTTGTCCTGTCATCACACACCCTTGTGAAGGGTCTCTTTTATTAATAATAAATATAAATAAAAATCACCCTCCACACCCCATGCAGATTCTGTGAAGTGAAACAGAAAGCTTCCCCAGCATTTGTTTCTTCAATTCCCCTCCCCCACCTTTTAAAAGCAGGGGATAATCAGCTGCTAAAAAAGGATACACAAAACCAAACTAATACAAAACCAAAAATAGGCCTATTGAATACAACTCTGTGCAAGTGTTGGCAGAAAGAAAACACTAGCTTTGGATTTCTGTAACATTTATGCACTAAATAGTATTTTCTGCTTCATTTCAGCAATATTTAAATCACAACAGCTACAGCTGTATGGCTTAGATAATTCAGAAGCATATTGAGCACTACCTAAGCCTTCCTTGTACCTAAAAACCAGCACATAAAAGTGGAAAAAAAAAAAGCAGCAAAAATTCATCTCTTGGAAAAAAATCTGATTCGATTGCCTGTAATAGTAACTTCGAAATAATTTCTAAGCATAAACAAGTCAGATAAATATGGCCAATTTAAATCCCAATATGCTGGTTTTTATAATGAAAAAAATGAAAATTGTCATCCACACCCCTTTAGCACTCTCAGTATCCCAAGCAAACACAGCAGTAAGTTACACATAGGAGGTTCTTTTGAAGGCAAATAGTCAGGGGTCGTGTTTTAGATAGAAAACAAAGAAAAAAATAAAACACTTTCCACACACAGATATGGTGAGTAATTCAACTTCATTTTTGGCAAACACCTTTACAGCAACCAATTATCACACCACTTCAACTCGTGCCTTGTTTCACTCAGATTTCCAACACAGACACCAATGTATTTGTAGTCTGTGAACACAAATTCAGGAAGAATCAAGCTATTCCTGCCCCGCCGCAAAGAAAAACAAAACCTGAAATAATCTAGAGTTAGAAAAAAGCAAAGCCAAAAGCTCCTGATGCACCTACCTACCAAGCTTTGGATTCCAGGTCATGTCAGTCATGCAACTGCTACGTGACTGCAGCAGCTCAGCAATCGCAGTAGCACTCAGAACACTTCCCAGCCTCCTGTTCTGGGACTTCACGCAGGCCTGGTTTATTTTCACAGCAAAACCAACTCGTTTTAGCAGAGCTGTAGGATTTTTAGAATCAGCATTCTGCAACTTGTGCAGACTGGAATCCCCATGGGATTGTTAAAGGAGTCAGCAGCTGCATCTGTCCTCTCATGCTATTGCTGGAGCACCAACACTGCTACATTTGCTTATTTTGCGTATCCATTAACTGAAAATTCTCTCACATGAGCATTACTGCTGTACAGGAGGAAAGAAACACCATTTTACATGGGCAGCTAATTGTTTTTTCTAACAGCAACATCAGAATAATTCTTCTGCATTTGGAATACGTGAACTCTTAAATTTCTGGAGTTTTTCAATAGCAGAAGATACTGAAATCTCTCCATGAACTTTGTTGTCTCTTGTTCGCACGTTGACAGCATTATTTGCTTTCTCCTTCTCTCCAACCACTGCAAGACATATCACAAACAATATTCAACTGATTACCTACATTACAAAATGAGAGCCTAGACAAACTCCATGCCCAATATTAAAACTTAAATGATACTGAGAAATGTAAGATGCTGTAATTACCCAAGATAAAGTTGTACTGAGCCAGCTGTGCATTTCTAATTTTCTTGTTTAATGTGCAACTTTGATCTAGATCCACATCTGACATAAATCCTGCTTCAAAAAATTTGCTGCAAACCTAAAAAAAACAACACAAACCCCATCACTCTCACTTAATATTACAGTATATATTCTATAGCATCAATTTGTACATGCTGTAATCCCTGATCTCTTCCTATAATTAATTAATTCCTATAATTATGCATGCGTATGATTTTGCTCTTGTGAACTGTTGTAAGGAATCCAATGAAGTTATTTGAAAAAACACTACACAGACTTAAGGGCTTAGGAGTCTGGTTAGAAGACAATACAAGGCAACATCCATATCAAATATTTGCTCATCTCCTCAGACAGCTACACTACTCAATGTCAGAAGTGTTTCCTCAGTCTGAGAGAGGAGAAAAAGGAGAAGGAACAAACCCACTTATCCTGGCATTGAAAGAAAAGCAGGGGAGAGGGATAAAAACAAATGTAGTCAAGAGAATACATGCTGGGAAACAGAAGAAACCGGCTCTGCCCCTACTTCAAAGCAAGTAATTCTGTAATTAAACATTAATTAGTATATAAGGTCTATCATCCAGAATGTTTTTTCCTTTAATAGTTACTGAAGTATGTACATAGCTAGCAAGAGAACCCCAAACACTTAAAGTTATATTATCCCTTTTTCAGGCTTATATAAATTTTAGACTATATGGAAAAATTTACTTCCCCCCCCACCAAATACGTCTGCAAAATTATTAAAGCATTCGTTCTTTGTTCTAGGCCAAGTACTTAAGGAGCTATTAAAATTGTGTTTGAGCTGTTAAGGAGCTATTAAAATTGTCGGTGACACTATAAAAAGGAAGGCCCTGCTCTCACCTGCTGGGCATACTCTTCAGAAGTAGGTCCCACAGGCACAACCATGACCTGCCGTGGAGACAGCCAGAACGGCCTGGCAAGCAGGACAAGAAAAATATAAAATAAATGCGCATTTTACATTTGCATTCACATCCATAGTTATATTCCTCAATAATTTCTTTACTTTATAAAAATATTTGTTAGCTAAGGATGTTGGATAATATGTTACCTTCCTCTTTTCAAGTTCACATAACATAGCAAATGGATTGATTCCAGTAAAATGACATATGCAGAACTTTGACCTGTTCGCTTCCAAGCTGACTTCACAATTTTAAACAGGATCTTATTTTTTCACTTAATTTGCACTTTTATTTATAACTTCATAGTGAAAGGTGGACAGTCAGACAGACAGGTGGCTGAAACTAAGAATTAACTCTTCCTTAATACTTTTAAATCCATTAATGAGGAAATATCTTCAGAGCTTGTTCAAAATGAAACAACATATCTTACAAGTTAAAAAAATATTTCACATATTAGGACTAATTCATGTCTGTATAAATAATTGCTTTACATACGTCTAACATCTTCCCAGCACAAAAGCACAATTTTTAAGAAAAAAGGAACAAGAATAATGCAGCACATACGCATTCAATTACAATTCTTGTTTCTGCTTTAACTATATAATTTTTCCTGCAATCTCAGGAAATTGCATTTCTAATAACGACTTATTAATAAAAGGGTATCATACAACCTGGACGATAAAATTAGACTTCTTTTCTTGTAACATTACCTACTAATTTTCAGAAAATTCTAGGGAAATTATTTTGCATTATAATATATAGGACATTAGGGAAGATCTGTTTTCTCCACATTGTTAAACATTTATTTGAACTGCATTTGTACCACATACCATTTTCCTCCATAATTTTCTGCTAGAATAGCTATCATTCTCTCCACAGATCCCAAGATAGCTCTGTGAATAATCACTGGCCTTTTCTTATCATCGCCATCCTTACTGAAAAAGAGTAAGTAAAGTTTTTTAAAAAAGAATTTCTCTTTGCTCACACTCAGATAATCCTACTAATATTTTTGATTCTACTTTTCATGGAAAGACAAAATTCAGTTATTTGTACTTAGGCAAAATCTACCATTTTTATTAAAAATATACATTCTTTAAACAACCTGGGCTTTTAAAGGAATACTGAATAATCATAGTGACTTAAAACAATCATGTCTGTTGACTAGTGGCATAGGCACCAAGTCCTAAGTTTTAAAAGACACTCAACTGACTCAGCTCCATTTCTGTACGTTTGAATATTTTATGTCCTTCCTCGCTCTTTCTCTTCTGCTATGTCTTGCTTTTATTCTGTTGCACAAGCTGTTACAAGCCTTTACTGTTGATTTCTTTCTCTAAATTACAATCCTGTCATTAGAAAAACGCCAGCTGCTATTCGCAACAGTATTGTCAGCTACCGAACAGCTATGATGTCTACTGTGGTACATGCAGCCGGACCAAAAATAACAGTTTTTATTCTACCTTCCCCATTAAACTCTTTATAATGGGCAAAACGAAACACAGCAAGAAAAACAACCCAGAAAATGTGTCTTCAAGTCAACATGGTCCTAAGATTAATTCACTCAGTGGATAAATATCCCTCTTCCTAGCTGGAAGCCAAAGTGAGATTTTAATTAAAAACTGTTAACATTTTGGTTATGTTCATCAAAATTAACTAACTTCATCTGATAAGAAGAAAAAAAGTACTTATTACAAACATACTAGCTCGTTAAGCTAAGTTTGAATTTGTATGCAATGTCTTCAAAGGAGACACAGTGACTAGGCTGAAAGTAAAAACTGACTCAGCTGAGTTTTCTTTAGCATTATATAGGATCAGCTGTCTTCAGAACTGGCTGACAAGACAGATCATGTGATTTTCCTGCCATCAGTAGCATTTACAATTGAAGTGAGCTATCATTACAGTGAGGAAGTACCTTCAAGTTTGTGACTTAGTCCTCTACTCACCAGGGATGCTTCCCCTCCTAACCAGCTGACTGACACACAGGCTAATCATTTGTTAAGTGACAAAAAGAGCATTAATACATCTCACTTTAATGAGAATTACAGATAATGAAACCAATTTTTTAAAATTATTTCATTTAAAAAAGGAAGTTAAGTAGCTCAACCACTCACCCAACATAAGTAAGATTAAATCGAATGGGTAGCTGGAAGTCAAGTTGGATAGTAGCACATTGATGGTACCTGCCAATAGCATCTTTGATTTTAATATCAATCTGCGAAGTAAAATAACACAGTTACCAAACATAGTTTGCCTGCATTGTGTCTGTATTCTTGTCCATCCCAAAGTTGTATTAAAATGCTGATTCACTAACCTTGGGACCATAAAACGCTCCATCTCCTGGATTCAAACTCCATTGCTCTCCAAAGTTATTCAAGCTGTTTTGAAGTTGCTAATCGTAAAAACGAGAGAATAATTACAAAAGGTGTAGTAGGGCCTTCCATTACTGTAAGTCAAAGCATTTGCCTTTGAAATACAAAGGGAGTCAAGAGGCAGCTCGACTCTTATAGTTCAAGCATTTAGTCATTTGTGATAAACAATCTTGAAATAAGAGCGGCTTCTTGAACAAATGCTGTGATTAATCTGAAAAAAGATTAATAAAAACCAAATCAGTTCAAGATAAGGGGCTAAGTAAGAATCAGAAAGTTCTCATTTTATACAGAAACTTCACACTGAATGTGATTGTTTTTAGCAAGCATTTCTACTAAGGGCATGCTATTTAACATCTGATTTAAGCAATTTCACTGATTTCACTATTCAACATGAAAGAACTTAGTTAAAAATCCACCTGCAAATACAAATATTAAGGGTTTTGTTTATTTGTTTGCTTTTACATAAATTACCTTTTCCGCATGATCCCAGATCTCTAACTCGCCTAGATAATTTTCTGGTCTTGTAGAGAGATGGAGTTGAAAGGTAAAACCAAAGACAGCATACACTGACTTTAAGAAATCAAGACAGCCCTTAATTTCTTCTTCAATCTTAAATGTAAACAAAACATATTAGTTAAAATTTACTTCCACAAAAATGTAATTGGATTTACTGAATTCCTCATAATCAGAATATAAGAGTCCATTAAATAAAAAAAAAATTACACGAAAATTGCACCCTACAACCCCTATTCTAGCTAACGGGTGAACAGAGAACTGAGGTGTTGTGGCTTCAAAGCACGGCAAGAAATGTTCTTGTTAAGTCTGGGCTTCTGAGGCCAAACTGCTTGAGTTAGACTTAACAAGAGTACATTGATTTATTCACATAGCTCCACTAAAATCTATGTCATTATTGACAAAATAAAGTATTTATTCAGCAATAGAAGCAGTTAAAACGCTTTGGGAACCTTTTCTTGGTTAATATTGGTTTGCACCAGCAGGGGGAAGGGGTTCTTTTTTCTCATTGACTGGTGGGGAGGTGTTGTTTTTTGCTTTTGGGTTTTTTTTACCTGTTCTATTGTGCAAAAGATGTGAGCATCATCTTGCTGAAAGCGCCTTACACGAGTCAAGCCACTTAAAGTCCCAGAGAGTTCATTTCTGTGAAGAACTCCAAAATCTGCAAGTCTAAGAGGCATTTCCCTCCAGGATCGTGGACGATGGGCAAACATCAAGCTAGAAGGAATATTAAAATTAAAGATCCTTCCCCTTTTGTCCTTCTTATAGAACACTTAAGACAACACAGAAACTGAAACAAGATTAATAGAGACAGTAATCACATTTTCAAGTATTTATTCATTCAGGCTTTCTGCATCCTACAGGCAAAGAGAAAAAGTGCAGCACTCAGAACGTATTGGTGAAGACTACCCAGAAAAAACATTGTGAGAGTAACAATCAAGACTGCTTCATCTGTACCTTCTTTTGGTTCACCACATCTGATGCCTATCTCTATCCAACATAATTTGTGTTTAGTAGTGGTACAGACTACCATTAGCATGTGCAAACCTAGCTCAGTGCGGACTTAAAGATACTCCTACAAGAACCACATTCGGTCTGCTTTGGGACCTTGTCAGGGCAGCTCTCTGGACACATTAGTTGCTTAGCAGTCTATTGTAAACATACATGAAAACATGTGTTAACACTCCATTTATTTCCCCTCAGCCCCATGAAGGATAAATATAATAAAAGAAGTAGTTTTTCAATTAAGAGTACAAACCAATGCCCTGGGCAATTCATCGGTTTAAGAGCAAACGTTTCCTTCTCGATCTCAAAAGAGAACATATTTTCACTGTAGTGCTGCCAGTGTCCTGAAGCTTCCCAGAGTTTACTGTTGAAGACGTTTGGAGATACAACTTCAGTAAAATTACGCTTGTGATATTCCTCCTATAAAAGAAATTAAACATTTAAAAGGTGATTGAGCTTTTAACAAGCAAAAGCCTGATTTTTCTTAACTATGTTCTTACAATGGCCATTTACTGGGAGATGAAAGGACTACTGCACAGGTAGGTTTTACACAACTGGGAAAAGCACGTGTCAATGCTCTACTCCGCCCTATTTTCAGAGAAGTTAGATCTGCATAGCAACAGTGAAAAATCCGGTATGTGTTTACATACATAGATGTTTCTGAGAAAAGCTCAGTGCTATGAATGGCCTACCACTTAAGATCATCAACTGATGCTATGTTTAAGAGTTACATTAGCATATACTCACTCGTATGAAATCCACAAGTGTGTTATAAAGAAAGGCACCTCTGGGGAGAAAAAAGCAGCTTCCAGGACTCAAATCATGAAAGAAGAAGAGTTCTTGCTCCTAGGTAAATTAAAAATGGAATGCTGTAACGCCACTTCAGGTGGAACTACAGAACTTGACTACTTCACACGTTAAGACTCTGTTCACAAAAATGAAATATTACAGCAACAAGATGATTTCCAGAAGTCTACAAGTCCTCAGCAGCAGTAGTTAATTTATCTGTAGTTCTTAGTCTCAGAAGTTTGTAATAACACTGGAATTCCATTTAACTCTGTGACTATGTAAATACACATTTCCTCAATAGTCATCAAATACTATAAGAATATCCAAGTCTTAATGAGTTAACAGAAATAAGCATGAACAATTCTGTAAAGATAATTTTTTTACTTCTTCCCTTTGTCACTGTTTTCTGTAAACTCCTCGGTGGCTTTTCCTCTTCCGAGTTACCCTCAGTTGTTCATCTTTACTTATGAAGGCCCTTCACAGCCTCCTCTTTCACATATGCCAGTAAGCAGTGAGGGGTTCATGCCTACATCCTCTTAGCCAAGGACATCAACCTTCATTTACACGTGACTTTGTGAAACAAATGCCTCCCTGCTTTCACCTATACTGCCCCTTATGCTTTTAAACATCCACAAAGCTGCTACTTATCTTCTCTCAATATCTTCCCTGCAAGTCCACCTTCTTTAGAAAACTATAGCAAAGGTGACAATTAGCACACTGCATGCCAGCATGACCAACACTATGTCACAGTCCCCATCCGTGTCAATCTAATGTCTTCGGAATTACAATCAATTTAAGATCAACTGTGTTCATTCGAACCTAGCAGAGGAATGTGTGAACAATACTCACAACTGCTGAAGCACTGCATGTAGATACGCTTAACTATTACCCTATTTATGCCTATAATAAAGAATGACCAAATCATATTCTTTACATAATTTTCAGTAATTTCTCTCTTCTATGAAAAATAGTGTTTTAGGTAGGATCTGAAGAGATCTTACATTAAAAGGTTTAAGATACACTTCCCTGAACCGAGGGACCATCCCATTACTTCTTCCCAACATTAGTTTAACATCTGTATGCAAGCAACAAGTTGAGTTTGTAGAATTAAAATTTTAAAATACAACTGACACTAAGAAATTCATAGAACTGCCTCCCACTCAAACTGCCAAAAAACAAAAAAAGAAAGCAAGAGAAAGAATTCAATTACAGAAATACAAAGAGAAGTAGATCATGAAACAGTATACCTTTCCAATTTTCCTATGGTCCCGGTTTCTGGCTTCTTCCTGGAATTTTTCCCATTCCTTCATCATTTTGTTATCAGGAAAGGATATTCCATATATTCTCTGCAGAGTTTCCATGTCAGATTTTCCTTCCCAATACGTAGAGGAATTCTGATGGACAAAACTCGTACTTTAAGACAGTGTTATACAATCTCAGAGAAAGGATGAATAAACACTAATGCATTCAAATGTTATGATTTTTTTCCTTAGGAAAAGAATTACATGCAGTCATCCGGCACTTGTTTATAATACAAAGATACTGGCACTGTCTTTTAGGTGGCATATTAATACAAAAGACAAACGGAAGTGACTAGTCAAGTCATACTTTTATTCTACTTAGGTACCTTGTTTTAACTCACATCATGACATCTTTTATTAACGCACGTTGTATCTTCTAAAAAAAGCAGCGCTTGTTTACATTCAAAATGTAACGCAGCAGGGAAATACGAAAGACAAAATCAAACGAACTCACTCACAGTTAAATCCTACCTGTTTTGACAATCTAACACTTAATCCCTGGAACTCAGGAGTTCCAAAACCTTCAGTCAGGAAGCCAGCAAAAGCAGCAACTACAATGAATGTCTCAATAAAGTCAGTCTAACAAGGTTACCAAAATTAGCATCTGCAAGTAGCTTAAACTACATCATAACCAGAGGCACCTGCAAACACTGTCTCTGGCTTTCTGTGAGCAATGCCATTTTTGAACAGCAACACTTGCAGATCTGCCAGTGTATATTTTACCTCCTGTACCTGAAAGGTACCATCTTACAAGATCAAAATACCATTTTCTGACCCAATGAGTATCTTGGATGTTCATTTACTGCACAACAGAGTGGCACGCTCACCTTGCACACCAATGTAACAGCTAGTACAGACTCAAACCAGGACACTTGTACTTCAAAGTGCAAGGCTGGTTGGAGATACTAGCACAGTACTGCCACATTAGCTTGGTCACTGCACTTCTCTATTGTGCCTGGTATAACTGGTTGCACAGCTAATCTAGTCACTCTTGCCATGTGTATTTTTGCAGTACTGTTCATTGTAGTCTAAGCATGCATCTTACTGCAATAGTACTCTGACAAAAAAATATACTCTTAATTTTAACTGATGTACTCTTGTGATGCTCGAGAATCAGTAAACCTTGGAAGCAGATGAATGATTAAAGTCTGTTGTTTTACTTGTACAATGGGAGTGGGGAAAGAAATGAAGGACTATTTTCAGAGTAAGCAAAGAAAACAATATAAAGGACCCGAGTATAATCACTTCAGGAGAAATGAATACATAAATCAACTGACCCATAGATCAGTTGAGTTTTAATGCACAGTTAACTTAAATTTACCTTAAATATTTTAAGGGCCTTAATTTTTCCAGTGTGTCTCACATGTGGACCCCTGCAGAGATCAATCAGCGAACCGCATCTAAACACCAAAATAAAAAAAGTGTTTCAAAACACGCCATCATTTTTAAATACAGTCACTAATGACATAGAAGTTAATGCCTGACGTGTTCAAACACATTAATAAGTGTACATATTCAACACTCGGCAAATTCAGCGCATCTTGAATGTAACTGTCCCTTCTGCTTGAAGCAGAACATTCACTCAGTAAACACTCAGCACACTTGATCCATTATCAAGAGCACCATAACACACTCAGCCATTCATATCACTCCATATGTAAACTTTGTTCAAGTTGGCCAGGAGACTTCAAACTATGCATATCAAACAGAAAAAAATGGTTTTGCCATTTTCCAATTAACTAGTTTTATCCCTAGCAACTGCATGAACAGAATCTTCACTCTACACTAAGCAAAGAGTTAGCTTTACCCGTTATCCAGTAACTCAATGTCATAGGTGGTAATCTATTTTAACCTGTTTACTGAAACCAGAGGGAAGGAGCGAAGAGTAGATTTGCCATTTGTCCACAAATTGAGATCTAATCTGTGCCAGCAGAGAAAGGAAAGATCTGATTTTACATAGGTAGCAATATTAATTGCAAACTTGGGTCTCAATCACACAAGTATTCAGAAGTTAGAGTAGGAAAAAAAATTTCTTCTCAATTTACATGAAATATCCCTAACTACAGAAATATGTCATAATATCTTTTACCTTCATTTTCTTTACCTGTATACTGTGGTCGTTGGTGTGTTCACCTTCTCATTAAGGATACGACACTTAAACTTGTTATACTGTGTGTGGAAACACGAAAAGTCAGAAGCATCAATAAAATGAGTAATAACGTTCTATTTCAAAATTATGCATTAATAATGCAAATGCATTAGTAAAAGACAACTAAAGTCACATGATCACATATATGTATGCAAAAGCTCAACATCCTTTCAGAAGAGTTATACAACAAGAAGGGAGACATAAGTGTCAATTTCCGTGATGACCACCTGAATATCTCAACGAACTTTTGGAAGGCAATTACAAGATAGTACAGCGAGACTGGTAATAATCACTGTATAAAACTGAGGACTAGAGGACAAAGTCTTTTTTGACTTGTCTCTGCAAGTGAGCCAGAATGAGTGCATGCCTTTTGTGTACTAACTTCTTTATCATCTAATTGAGCTTAAGGTGGTTTTGTGTAACAAGAAGTTGTTTTTGTTATTGCCTGAAAACATCCTGAACACTTAAGAGGGATATGGAGAGGGGGAAAAGGATGCTATTCTTTTTCTTTTCTAACTAGACAGGGACTATTCTGACAAGTCAGTCACTTGCAGAATTTTATAAAAGTTACATTTTAAAAGATCACTGTACCACAATCATAGTTACTCCAAGGACTTACCTTAAACATGTCTAACAGGATCTCCTTTTTGACTTCCAGCCTTTCAAAAGCTTGCTTCTCCTTTATGGTATTTTTACAGAGGTTCTCTAGTAGTGGGAATTCAGTACTAGATACACCTCTAAACAAATAGACACAGACAGAAGAAATAGAAATTAATTATTTTTATATTCTTAAGTGACCACTTTCTAGTGGTCTAATTTGAAAAACGTGGGATGTGTTGTTGTAATTTGTCACAGTATTTTCTTAGTTTCTTACAATTGGCTGTACTTTTGACACTAAACTCAGAAACAGAAATGGTATCATCCTGAACAAACCCACTGCAAACCTAGAACAGTCTTTGACATGTTTAAATGTCTGGAAGATCTGTAGCTCAAAGTATGCATGATTTAAGAAAAAAAAAAAGGCTCAACCCAGCTGCAAGAGCTAGTTTATCAGCTGATGCAGATTCAGTATTCTCTCTGACTACAGAAAGATAAACAAGGAAAAAAACAGAATTGTAAAGCTGTGCACAAGGATTAGAAAAGTAGTAAACACTTACATGAGTTACATGCATACATGCCATTTCTACAAATGACTATGGCACTTTGGAACCAAACTCCCATGATTCTTCAAGGAATCATGTATTTCCCAGGTCATAAAGTTTTATCCAAACACTCTACATTTTTTCACAGAATATTCAACAACTGCAGGTCTTAAGCAGCAGATGTCTGAACATTGCTCTTGAATTCAAGTATACACACACTCAATACGTATGTCTACACAGACCTTAACTATGAAGACGACTATCCTGTCAGTTTTAAAGCACACTACATTATGATTTTACTTTTAACATGCAGCAAAATGACTGAGTAAAAAAAATTCCCGTACTAAGCATTAAAGTTATTAGACACTGAAATTTTACCTGTCTTCAATGTACATGTCATAATGAAATCCATTCTCAATTGGTGGTCCATAGCATAAGCAGCCCCCAAAATAACCTTCCATAGCCTCTCCAAGAATATGAGCACTTGAATGCCAATAAACCTGCAAATGAAGTCAGGTGAGTAAGTGATGGGGTCACTGGCATTGCGTAACTGAAAAGAAAAAACAGAGGTATATCTGCAGATGGGAAATGCAATGGAGTCAATGTTGTTTAAATTCTGTGAGAAGTTTAACAGTTTTCTGTTCTCGATTGAGAACGCTAAATGATCAATGTAACAGCAGATGCAGCAATAAATCCTCATCTTATTTCAGTCTGAAAGATGATTATACCTCTGCACAATTCTATCACCTTAGCACTTACTGCACCTTGTTCATTTATAAGTTAGTTTCCAGTCAGTAAAAACTCTATCTAATACTAACCGTGTATAAAGCAATGTAGCCAATTAAGCTACCACTGAAATGTCAGATGAGGGGAGTCAACAACCCAGTAGATCAACACCAGTCTCATGTTCTAAGTCTCTATTAATTCGCACCACTTCATAGCCACTGCTAAAAGATAAAGCCTTTACAGGCTCCTGAAATGCCTCAAACAAGCTTAATCACATGAATAATTCTTTGACAAAATTAAGTCTAATTCTAGCACATAAATATAGGCTTAAGACTGAATCCCATTAAAAGAAGTGTATCACCAAGCATATTCATAGTTTAGTTAACTAAGATATGCTTACTTAAGCTCCTTATACGAGGAAGTGCAGATTTTATTTATGACTCAAATTTGATATCGGACAACTTTTAGCAAACTGTAAGAGCCTCACTGTTTCTTTCAGTGTCTGATCTTCAAATGCTCTGAGTCAAACCACAGAACAGGTGTCGTAGGAAACATCAGATTATTCCAAGTTAGCATAAAAATCAAAACATTCTGTATCATCTCATTCGAGAAATAACCCGTTTATGTAGAAGAGAAGGGAAGAAAAGAACACTAAGATTTTATTCTCCTAGAGATTATAGGTACTTGGTATCTAATTTTCTTTGTTGAATCAGGACAAAGATATTACTTGAATAACTGGGGGGGATTTTTTTACCTCAAGATCTTAAAAGCATAATGCTGCAATCAATTTCACATCATTAGCTCCTTTAATCAAGCAGAAACCAGAGAGCATTTACTCACAGCTTTTGCTTCTTCATTATCAAACGTAAGCAGCTCCAGAGTACAATCTCCCTCCAGTGGACGATCCAGGTCCCACAATTCACCATTCACTTTGGCTACGACTGCATTTGAAGCCAACACTTGACTAAAAAAGACAAATGATGACACAAGACCAAAACATTCAGGTTCCGATTTGCAAAAGCACTTAGGTTTCTAAACACCACAAGACCCCACCCACACTCGTAGCACCTAAAGACCTTTAAATTTTGTTTCTGTGGTCATCTTAAACACTTTTCTATTTTTAAGGTATAGACCCTTAAGGTCTTAAAGTTTCATTGAACAGTTTTCAGTGCTGGGCATCTGGAGGAAAGGCTGCTTCTAACAACAGTTTCTACTGTTATCTGGTAACTCGCAAAACTTCAGATGTCTCTATTAATCCCTCATATTCTCATTGATTGTTATATTTTTCACTTAGAAGCAAGCATTATGATCCCAGCACAGAACCTCATGCATCACTCAGAACAGTAACTTGATCCAGCTTTTTCTTCTGCATTAAGCTGAAGTTTCAATGATGCTTTCCAAATAAACCAACTAAAGGGAGTCACCATCCACTGACCGTGGCATATACGTTTTACGCAACAAGGTCAGAGACAAACGATAGTAACAGATTTATCACTGCAAAAGTACAAGCCCTTTCAACCACGTTACCTAATTCCTGCGGCTAATTGATACGGTGTGGTTTTCCAAGATTCCCCTTCAGCGATCTTTCCATCTGTCAGATTAATTTTGATAGGTTTGCTCTGGTTGGCTGCTCTGTAAGCTAGCAAAGCATCATGTTCTTTTTTCAGTTCTTTGTAAAGCTTCAGTCTGTCTTCTATGAAGCTTGGTTCACACTGCAGCTGTAACATACAAATTAAATCATAGACATACATATTGGTGAGAGAAACAGAACAAAAGGATTCACAGTGTTCATGTACCCCTACAGGTTCCAACAGAGACCAGATTTCACTGTACTAGAATCTAAACTAATATGCAGTAAAGCATGTGTAAATAATTACACACAGGATAGTCCCATCCAACTTGCTAACTATTTTATTTTGGCTTTCCAATTTTCCAGTGCACCTTCATCAACCTGGGCCTAAATGCCTGTGTGAGTTTGATCTCAGAAAGCAGCCTATATTCCTGCACCACAATTTGTATTTGGCCAACACCCTAGAGAAGTTTGGATCACTCCAACAAGCCCTCACTACTACCAGTTCATTCAAAGCATCAGATTCAAATAACATAGTTCACAAGAAGTTTCCTTTAGTTTAACGCAAGGTCAATTATTAAGATCCATTGAACTACAGCTAATGCTGCCAGCATGCTCTTTCAGCCTCCATGCACACTGTTTAACTATTTATGAACCATCAACCTCTTTAGGAACCACAGTATTCTGACCTTTATTTCCAAATAGCCCAAATCCTTCTGTTACACAAAAAGTAGAGATCTAAGAGTGTATAAGCAACCCTACTAATCGCAAGCAAGACCAAGTTCTCAGATAATATTTTTTTTCTATACGCATGCTATGGCAAGCCTTCTTCCCAAAGTCTAGGATTTCAAAACACAGAAAAGTGTTTCAGATTTCAGCACCTTTTCTGAACGTAGGTAAACAGTATTCTGTTTAAAACTTCTATAATTATGTGGCATGAAATAACCACTTACATCTTTCCGATGTTGATTCACAGCTTCATTTTCTTCTTCCTCTTTATTTTGATTCACTGCAACAGTTGGACTTGCACTGAAGACTTTCTGAAAACAGTGAAAATATGCCTTTAAGACTTTTCCCAGCAATCATTGCAACAAAACAAGTCAGATCAGTGCAATATTGGGCTAAAAAGGCAATTACGATCAAGTTATGTCCTTAGTATTAAAGAAAAGACTTCTCATGACACATCTAACTGCATTCTTTCGATGTTCAGCAGACACAGCAAAACTGCTCATCAAGCAAAACCTTCTCAGCACAATTTCCTCAATTTTACTACTGCAACCGCCACCGGCAAAACCTCCCCAGCGAGACCCTGGGAGATTAAGACGGCCTAGTGAGCACTAAAACCAACTTTCGGTAACTTATTCCACCTTTGCAAAAAGGCGGGGACTGTCGGGAGAAGCACAGTTCAGTGCTCCGGGCACACGAGGAGCGCAGCCAGACACCGCGGCCAGTTCCATCCCCTTCGCCCCGTCCCTCCCGCCCCGGAGCGACGCGGCCGCCCTCCCCCGCCA